AACTAAGTCTAGTAGACAAAGTTTTACTTTTTAATTTACCTATAAAGCCATTTTGGACGTACGAGATCCATATTTGGAGCTCAGCAGCTAAATCTAGCTTAGATAGAGTTCAAAGACTGTAGTCTAAAACCTTAAGAGATGCAAAGGGTTTTGGTATATAAACAACTCCACAATTCACAACGATCTCGGAATTGGAAACGTCACCGAGAACAAAGAGAAACTGCTTAAAAATTACTCATTACGGTTATCTAACCACCTAAGCTTTCTAGGTTAAAAAGTTATTACAGCAGAACTACCCTAAGCGATTAAAGGGAGAGGATTTACATTTTAACTGTGACTAAGTGGTCTGCCGCATCTGATTATTCTACATCGGAGTAGGGCTCCTTATATGAAGGATATGATATTATGATTTACTTAAAATTATGCTTTATGATATATCCTTTGTTAAATTTTGAACATGAGTGCTTGGTATCCCAAATGATATCTATATAAACGCATTCTTTGATAAATCTAAGTTATATTCGTAATTTATTGTATTTTTCTTACTTTGCTAATCTATAAAGTGGTATTGATTAACTTGTTCCAGGAATAAAAATAAGAATTAGCTTTAAGATTTTCAAAATTATTGTTAGTTTCCAAAAAGGAAAGATTCAATAAAACATTATACAAAAAAAAAAAAGATTCTACCTCCTGCACATTTTTTATCAGCTCTCAGCTTCAGTTAATTTGGCATTGAATTTTTAAATCTGATTTCAAAATGATACATATACCTATACATATATATGTACACACATGTGGAGTTTTAAAAATTATGTCTTACAAAAAGGAAGTGACATAGATGACCACACAGTTCTTCCAATAATTGTATATCGATTTCTCTACAGGAAAGCGCTTCTGTGTTTTCCTTATTTCAAATTATTTTAACAGCAATCGTTCTGCCGTTGGAATTTCGCATTTTTGCTAATTATTTTTTTATTTGTTTTTTTTTTTTTACTCTCAAATGTTTGTCATTTAATGGTTTGAACCAGGTTCGACACCATCATCTGCTTTGTAAATATATATATGTATACGTGATATAAATGTTTTTTCTTCTTTCAAAACCTAAGGGCTGAGTTGTCTAACTCACTCACAGAACTAAAAAAAAAAAATGTTCTTTTGATATTATAAATAATCTAAAATGATTTACATTTATGGCTTACAAAAAATAATTTTTATGGGCGAAAAATAAATTTTAGAGTTTGTTTAAAAAATATTCAAAAATTAATTAAAATCTCATTTATAATCATTCATTTGATTGAGTTGTATTCCAAAGAAATATGAATTCCATTTTTCCATTCTGCAAATGTTAAAAGGTTACATCGTAACGTTAAATTTCACATTTATCAAAAAAATTCATCGGTGCGGCTGAAACGTTTAGAAACATTATGGTTCAAGCTGTTATCATATTAAATTTTCTTTCGTTTTCACCCGAAACGAAATGCTGTCGTGCATGTTAAATCGTTTACAGATAATGTTAAGCGTCGTTAATGTTAAATCGTTAGTAGCTATTTATAAATGTTAAAATCGAAGTGTGCTATTAAACGATAGCAAACAGACATTTTAAAATTTAAGTCAACGATGAGTTCGAGCGGTTTCAACATCAACAATTGAATTTAGTTTCGATAACAGGGCGCCAAAACGAAACAAAATCATTTCGTTAAATTTATTTTTGACATTAACAAAACCAAGTGGCAACGTTTCGTTAGATGAGCATCTCCATTTCAAATGGATAGATAACATTTTACGAATAATTTACTTTGATTTCAAGTATCAACAAAAAATATATATAAACTAAAAACGCTGGAATTTGAAAATCTGCTCCATTTACCAAAGTAGATCTTGCGCCGATGCTCTTTCATCTACTATTCAACTTTGTTATCCGTGTGGAAGATTATATTGACAAATTTTTTCAACGGCTTGTGACTCTGTAATTGCATTCTTTTTTCTGTCAGTTATCAGCTGTTACTTTTAGCTTGCTTTAGAAAAAAAGTGCGCGAAATTTTGTTTACATTTGTTTGTTTGGCGTCAATTTTAATATGGAGCCCGCAAAGGAGCATTTTCGTCAAATTTTACTTTATTATTTCCTTAAAGGAAAAAACGCGGAGCAGGTTGCTAGAAAGTTACGAGATGTGTATGGTGATGAAGCCTTAAAAGGAAGACAATGTCAAAATTGGTCTCGCAAATTCCGTTCTGGAGATTTTTCACTCAAAGATGAGCCACGTTCAGGTCGGCCAAATGAAGTTAATGATGACCAAATCAAAGCATTAATCGAATTGGATCGTCATGTAACTGAGCGTGAGATAGGAGGGAAGTTAACTATACAAAAATCAACCGTTCATTATCACATAAAAAATCTTGGACTGGTGAAAAAGCTTGATATTTGGGTACCACATGTATTGGAAGAAATTCATTTAATACACCGAACCAACGCTTGTGATATGCACCTTAAACGCAATGAAATCGATCCGTTTTTAAAACGGATCATAACTGGAGATGAGAAATGGATTGTTTACAACAACGTTAGTCGAAAACGATCATGGTCCAAGCATGGTGAACCAGCTCAAACCACTTCAAAGGCTGATGTCCACCAAAAGAAGGTTATGCTGTCTGTTTGGTGGGATGCTTCCAAGGAACCAAACGATTAATTCGGATATTTACTGTCAACAATTGGACAAATTGAATACAGCCATCAAGGAGAAGCGACCAGAATTGGTCAATCGTAAAGGTGTCATATTCCACCAGGACAACGCTAGACCGCACACATCATTTGGTCACTCGCCAAAAACTGAGTGAGTTTGGCTAGGAACTTCTGATGCATTCACCATATAGCCCTGTCCTTGCACCATCAGACTACCATTTATTTCGATCTTTGCAGAACTCCTTAAATGGTAAAACTTTCGGCAATGATGAGGCTATAAAATCGCACTTGGTTCAGTTTTTTGCAGATAAAGGCCAGAAGTTCTATGAGCGTGGAATACTAAATTTGCCAGAAAAATGGCAAAAGGTTATCGAACAAAATGGCAATTATATATTTGATTAAAGTTCATTCTAAGTTTTATTAAAAATGCATTTACTTTCTTTTAAGAAATCCGCAACCAATAATATATTTTATAGGTAGGTACAAAAAATCGATATAATTCGAAATAATTCGAATACAATTATTGAAAAGCTGAATATTTTACGACTTTTCCGGGAATTACAATGTTCGTCCTATCAATTACGAATGCGAATTATCCCATTCACAAGGCAAGCATTTCGACAGTTTTCGGTTTCGTTTGTTTGTTCCATTCGAAAACGCAGGGAAAATGAAAGATTTTAGTATAAGTTAACAAAATTTTGAATTAAATTGGTTATTTAATGACAGTTTCTTTAATAATTTCCAATTTTTTCTTCTTTAATATACAAATAGTGTTTGGTTTCAAATAAAAGTATGGGTTTCAGTGTTTTCTTCTAGGATTTTCATCTATTTTGTTTTGATTTGTCAGCTGATTTCGAAAAAATTTCGCAGAGAATTTGAGCAGGCAACGATTTGGTCGTAATTCCCATGGCAATTTGTGAACGAATTGCCCGCTTTTACTGTAATTCCCTCTCAAAAATTTGTATTTGCAAATTAAGCTATTCGACATTTATTTGGAGGGCGAGTTAAGATTGAGTTAGCGAAGTAAGTAGCTGGGCTGTCGTGGAAATGCCGTATTAGCTTCGAACAACAAGTAGGGACTCTAGGAGCGGACTTCTCATCACTAAGCTAAATACGCCTGAAAAAACTATCTGATTTGAGATTTTCACATCAAAATTATTATATTAGAACACGTCAACAGAAGTCCTATATTCAGCCAGTTCAGATCGAAATTTGATACAAAATACAAGTGCGTATTAAATTTTCCTTCGAAGTGGAAAACTAGAATGTTTCGGAAACTACAAACTCAGAGTGCAGTTCGGCTCTATTCCTTAAGCACTTTAAGCGTTCATACTTATAATTTAATAATACCGTTATAACATGTTTGGTATAAAAATAAACGCAACAAAGTCGTAAATCGGCGCGCGGCCAATTAAAACTTGCCTCGCACAAATCCCAAATTTGAAGCATTTAAAACGATGCAATTACAGATGAATATAATCCACAGGTTCAACGTATCCTTTGCGCTCAAGTGCATTTGCATTTTTCTACACACATTCGCTTAATGTTTTGGCACTTAATTATTTGATGGATGTATGTGTGTTTGTATACACTGCTGTTACTGTTGTTGTTGTAGCTATTTATGAGTAGCTTAATGACTCGCTAATTAACTGCCAGCGATTTGTGGACTGGAGTTAACCAACTCATTTATTTCATTTATTATTACTTTGTTTTTTTTTTTTAGACTTTTTCTTCTTCGTTTTCTTTAATATTTTTTTTATCACATTTCACTTCACACGCAAGTTTAAGGTCAAACCGAACGGCGCAATTGCGTTGATCCTTAGGCCAACATTTACTCTTATTCACACTTTACGGTAATTTTGTATCTTTCCGGGTCAATTGCAATGCCACACACACATATTTACATTATGATAATAATAGTATTTAATTTCGTATTTCGCACACTGCAGATAAATGCAGAACTGACTTTGCAAAATTTTTTTTTTAATATTTCCAACTGCACATTTGCTTCTCTTTTAACTGCAAAAGATCAACACAGGTTTTCATGCTGTACATAAATACTTATGAAGACCGACTCTACAGACTTTCGACGTACGCGTACACTTGCAACAACGACCGCGCTCCAACTCGAACTAACTAAACTGAAATTAGCGTTGGCCTAAGCAACTGCGGACTACTGGCGGCTGCACTCCACAAATTACCAGCGCAGCCAGCTAGAGACAGTAATCAAAGAAAGCAGCCAGCGCTTGGATAGCTACGAGTAACTGGTTGAGTCAACTGGCCGTCGTCTTAGATGGGTTGCTCCCAGTTGCCGAGTTTGTACGCAGCTGGTGGTAGTGGTGGTGTTGTTGGTGGTGGTGCAATAGTTGCGGCTGTTGCTTTTGTGGTTTTGACTTGCCATACTTGCTGCTTGCTAACTGCCCATTCAGCGGCTCGTCACTTGCTACGCACGGCACACGGTACACTGTACACGGCAGTGGGCGATTATCTACTTGTGTTAGTTGTTGTTGCTGTTGTTGTTGGCGGCGACACAAGTGTAAGAGAGGTAGCATTGTCGCATGTTGCATCGTATGGCTAGCTGCCACTTGTGTTGGGGATTACGAGCGGGACTTGCATCGCGCGGCGTTTGCGCTTATCAGTCACACAGTCACACAGTCAACTAGTCGGCCAGCCAGCAAAGTTAACGCGTTGTCTTTGCGCACATAAGGAAGTGTTGTCAGCGCTAGAGCTCTGCCTAGTATAATATTTGTACAATAGGTATGTAAGTCTACGCAGAGCTTGGTATAAAGATTGACGCCTTCCAAGAACTTGACATGCGAATATGAATGCAACTACAACAGCAGTGAGTTGGCTGTGAGTGCATTAAGCCATCGTCGGGTTGGTGATTGTGATTATGCAAAGACCTAGTTGAGTTGGAAGATTCGTTCAGACCGATGGGCGCGCAATTTTTCCACGCTTTCATTGGATTAACACAAATATTTTTATGTGTACTCGTATGTACTCAGCGCATTTTCATTGCTTAGATTTCCGCAAATATTTCCGAACGCTTTCTTTTTCTTTTGCTCAGGGCGACTCCACCGACAATACCTTGCTTGCCTTGGTGAATTTATATGAATTTCAATTATATTTTCTATATTTTCATAATTAATTTTTCTCATTGCACTTTTTCTTTCACAGGAAAATATATTTTTCTTTTCGTTTGAGTGCCCTGAATGCTTTTGTTTGTGTCTGTTGGGAAGACATTGGGCGCAACTTCTGTTATATCTGAATGAATCATTTTTGTCTACCTTAAGTTTCAGCAGTTCTTAGACCGTTATTTATACATACATAATTAATATAAATAATGGGTGCTTTGCAAACGCTGAAGCAATTTTCCGCCGAGATCCTCCTCTATTTTGTGGTTTACGTCTTGATGTTTATCCATCATATGGAGGTACCTACATTTTATACTAAGATGCCACCGAACGGCTGCTGGGTTTTTTTTTATGAGGACCTTATTTCATGCCAGAAATACACTCGGAGCGGTCGACATTCCCTGCCGAGGGGCGACCGCAATTAGAAATTTAACTTAATTATTTATTTAAATTAATTTTCTATAACTTTTTGGATGTTGTTCACACGGGGATTTGAACCCGAGCCTTCCGAATGGTAGTACGCAATGCTAACCACTCGGCCGGCGCTTTGTAACCGCTGAAACGATTTTCCGCCGAGCTCCTCCTCGAATTTGTGTTTCCTCCGAGTGTATTTTTGATGAAATAAAAGTTCCCATTATCATTGTTGACTCCTTTTGAGAGCTCAAAACTACGCGAAGGTTCGTTTGAATGAAACGCAGACTACAACCTAATGAATATCTACGTATATCACGGATCGCAAGCACACAATTATTCATCCGTTGAGCAGTTTGTAGATTTGAAAGCTGGAAGATCTCTAAGCCAATCCATCAGTGTAGTATGATTCACGCCTTTCGGTGGTTCGAAACCAGCAATCACAGTGATGCTGAATATATTTGAGAGCGTCCTCAGGGTAGACAAGGTAGTCGTTTCGATGTCCAGGTTCAAACGACCCTTTGGAGAAAAGCAGAAAGGAAAGTGCAAATGAAAAATTGTCAAATCTCCCCCTCTCTGCTCTGTGGTTTTTGATCTATGGAAAAGAAGAAGAACGGACTCACCGAAAACACGTAAAAATCTCATTACCCAACTATGAGGAATGCAATTGAAGAACAACAAAGCGGTTGTTTATCTGTCCGAACTATTCAAATGCACCATGCCGCCGTACATACATCAACGTTTTTTTGAGATCCATAGAACGATTGGTTCCTCAGTGTACCCATTCCATGAAATGAGGACCTCAAAATCTAGTATAGTTCCTGTTTGTGTGTGAAAGCTTAAAGTCTACCGCAAGCGAACTGATTGAACCTTATGTGAGGGAAAATATTTTAAAGTTGCTTTATGTGGAGTGAAAAATAATTACCTTTATGCCATTGTGTCATGTGCACTCTTACGCCTGTGTAACCTGTCACTGGGTAGTACCGAAATCTCAGGCAGGCTTTTAAACGACCTCGTACAGCCTTTCTTACAGCACATAATGGCATATTCTGGACTAGAAGGTACATCTACATAGTCATATATATAGAGTCTTACTTACTTTACTGGCGTAGACACCGCTTACGCGGTAATAGCCGATTTACAATAATGCGCCATTCGTTTCTCCTTTTCGTTGTGTGGCGCCAATTAAAAATACCAGTGCAGCCAGGTCATCGTCCATGCTTCCGCACCATGTAGCAGGACGGGAACGATGAGGGACTTGTAGAGTTTGGTTTCTCAACCGCATAATCTCTCGCGATGGCGATGCCAATAGGCCACGATTTGACACCGTTGTACTTTCATTTGCAGGGCTACACGAAAAATTTTGTTTATGCGGCTAAGCGTTAAACTCTTGGGCACTTGAAAACCAATATTTTTTCGTTCATATTATGGTTGAAATACCGGCCATTATATGTCCAAAAGTTTGCCGAAAATAATCATCTCAAATGGTTTGTAGTTTGCAGATATTCGCACGCAAATGCGGCTGAGGTAGAAGCTTTATAGCAAGAAAAGAATTTCTTGAAAAGATTTAATTTAAATGCATTTTATTTACGGTTAAGTTTGTATATAAATATATATATATAAAAGGCTTTGTCCTGAATGACTGACGGATCAACCCACAGCCTAAGCCACTGCGCGTAGAAAACCGAAACTTGAAGGGTGTATTCTGCACGTGGGATATGCACCCGATAAGGAATAACTTTTCGGAACCGGAACCGATTTGTTTAAGCATGTATCGTCCTAGCCCAATGTGCCCAGCACACGTTTAGGCTTTCGCTTTTTTTGGTTCCTGTCATTTGAGGTATTTATGCTTATATGTATAAGTGCAATCCTCAGTGAATAGTGAAGCAATAAACTTAAAGTGTCTATTAGATGCTAAACTCAAGGTGTTTGAAAGATATACGACAGCTTGTATGCTTAGATTTTTGTCAGCACCAGGTGTTCAGAGAACTCCACGAAGCACTCCCACGCTCTACAAATTTTGAGGAGCCAAAGTGCTCAAATAAATTCCCATTGCAACAAATAGAATGATTACTCCGCATCACCTCCAAATTTTTCACTCGGAGCTCTCCTCTGAGCGCCATCCAATAAATTCATGGCGTAAAAGGAGGAATAGTCACTCCGCATCATCTCTAATTTTTTCCATTAAGAGCCAAATGACTCTGTGAATAAATCACACATCAACAACTTCTCTACACCTAAACATCCTTTCCCTCGAACCCCCGAAAGCTTAAGCCTACTTTATTCTGGTAAATACCACTTTTGAACTCAAGCCGGCCGCTCATCAATAAGAGCGTGCCTTTGTGGCATGTATCCTCGAAATGCATGAAAATTATTCGAAATTTCAACGAAAAATCATACCGACTGAAGAGGCCACACTCTTTTAAAAATGACGCTGGAGCAACAGTTACTGTGAGTAAATTGGCTTTTTTGGGATATTTTTAATGATTTTTACATTCAGGTAGCACCGTCTACCTGCCAAACCAACAACGAAACTATCGATCTTTTATGGAAAAAGTCTCCAGGCTGTGTTATCCAACGAAGAGGTGATCGCAATCGGGCACAGAGATCTTGTTATTTAACACCTTGCGACTTCTCCCTTTTAAGCGATGTAAAAGGGAAGGTGTACGTTAACCGACCAAAGTCGATTCAAGATCTCAAATATAGATTTGTTGAAGTAAGTGAGGGCAATAGCAACTTTGAGATTTGGTGATGAAAAATATCATAAAAAGGATACGGTCCTATAAGCGTAGCAATGGCGGCCATTCGGCTAATATTGTTTACCAGTATTACGATTGCACTAATTTTCAAGAGCCATTGCTTCTTTTTAACTTTAAGATATATATATGTAATACATATCATATCTTATATATACTCGTACATACATGTGAATTAAATGCAAGTAAGAAATGAACGAAATTTCCAAAGTCAACGAAAACTTTCATTTGCATGAGATTATGTTGAATGACTAGCGTTATTCATGTGTGCTCCATACCTTCAACCATTCACGAGCAGAAATATCACATAAAAATATACCTATACGAACATACATACATACTAACGGTTACTACATAACTCGCGCAGCCATTCACTCCGCCACAATGATTTGTTATGATTTGTCATTAATGAATAAAAAATAAAATTATAAAACTAAATAAATATTATAATCATGTATGTATGTGCCTTTTTTCATATACATACATATGTATATATATGTAGTTTTCGCTATCACTACGGCAATGAAACCAAACAATGAAAATAGAGCGAAGCAACAATAGCAAAAGCAAAACAATCGAATTCAGATGAGCGGACAAGTGGATGGAGCTGCTTTTCTTTTCATAATATTTAAATAGTTTAATTTCATAATAATAAAAAGAAAAGAAAAAAAAAACATTTGTTTAAAATAAATGTTCAACACACTGGTCTGCAACTACACCGCCTAACTGTAACGCCACACATAGCCGGTAAAACATCTTTCCAATTATGAGTCCATAGACAATAAATCCAAGTATATATGTACATACGTTAAAGCATAGCTGAATATACCATACATGTGTATGTATATATATCTTACATATATATAATATGTAGATACGCATATGCTACGCTGATGATGAGTAAAGAATGGGTAGTTTCAGCAACCTCAACCGCTGCTGTCGCTGACCAAAACCCAACGGCAAACGAATAAAGCGTATGATGGCATGCAACCTGTTGCTGCCACAATGCCTTGCCACTGCTACTTTTGTGCAATATTCATAACAAAGTTGCTGCCGGCTATTGTGTGGTAATAATAAAATCGCTAACGAACGACTGTCGCAGTGAGGAAGAATAGAAAGAATAGAAAGAAAGGCGCAGAAAGCAGAAAGAACTCAACTGAATGGGTGAAATGCAAATGCAATGGCGGTGTGAGGAACAGCACGTGATTGAGAAGTGGTAAACAAAAGAATGGAAAGCAAAAATGAGTCGGAAGAAGCGACGTTAAG